TACTTTTCTCTCTTTAAAACCACATAAACCATACTACTTTTTCATACTCCCATCACCCTCACACTTCCACATAAACTAAAAAAACTCACTATTCTAATACTCCCCCATCTTCAACCTCTTGCTCACAAAATCACCCCTTTTTCATGTAGAAAGACCATCACCATTTCATGTTTCTATTTCATCTTCTTCACCACAACACCACCACTAAGACCACTATGTAAGTATCTTTTTTTTCTTCATATTCAATTTTATTTCTCATCCTTTTATATTTTTCATATTTAGAATGTTATTTATTTTATTAAATAGTAGTTTAATTCTTTGAAGATTTTATTAGTTTATATTGCATGGTGTTATATGTGTAGATTCTACGTAAAAAGTATATGTTTTAATTATTAATTATTTTAAATATTTTTATTTAATATTGATTAATTAAATTATTAGTTAATCATATTAAATATTAATATTTAATTTGATTAATAATTCTTTTGTTGCCTGGTTCTATCTTTTGCTACTTGTCTGCTTTCTTGTCTTGGGTTTGTTCCTCGATTAATTCTTGATGTTCTTCTTTGAATAATTGATGATGTTTTCTCACGATGCTTTGTCATGATTGTTTTATGGATTTTATTCGCAATGTTTTGCCGGGATCTCTTTTTATTTACTACGTGATACTCTTCCGCGTACCTATTATTTTTATTTCGTGATGCTTTGCTACATATCTTTATTTGTTGATTACATGATGCTTTCCGTGTATTTCAGTTGTCTTTTCACTGTCTGATTACCGTGATGTTTTTCTATGCGTATTTTGTGTTATCTTATATGTCTGACCATACATGATGCTTTTCTATGTACTGTGTTTGTGTATTCTTACTTGCCATTTACATGATACTTTTTCGTGTATCTGTTGCTTTTCTTTTGATCCCTGTGACTTAATCCAAGGGAAGGGACTATATGTTGACTAATCGTCATTGTGCATGTCCCTCATCTGTTCTTTACATGTCTTAGTTTTTCTTGGTTCTTAGAACCTAGAAACTCGTGGTTCTACGAACTACAAACACTCTGATTTCTCAAGTTCCACTTGAGGATACGTAGGCACAAGGCCCCGATCCTTGGCGAGCACACTTTTTCTTTTTTCACACTCTTTTTATTTTTCACCCATTTACTTCTTTTTACACGTAGTTTCCGAACTACGACTGCTTTGACTTCCTATTAAGGATACATAGGCATAGGATTGCGAGATCCTAGCGAGCTACCTTTTTATTTTTTTATCTTTTTCTTTTCCCACCTTTTCTCTTTTCTTTACCCGTCCTTACCTTTAGCAAACAATTTTAGCCAACACAAATATTTCAAGAGGTTCCTATAGAGTACTACAGATGCTTAGGGTGTTAATACCTTCCCTTAGTAGAACTAACCCCCGTACCTTTGATATCTCTTTTGCTTAGCTTTACACCTTACTTTTTGCTTTGCATTTTATTTATGGGTTATTCTTTATTTTTCATTTCCCTTGGAAAAATTAAAGATCAGCGGTGTATTTTATGATTTGTGATTCAAGTTAATTCAATAGCTTGATATCTGATTCTCACCGCGACACATACCGTACTTCAAAGAGGTAGATACCAAGAATTAAAATAGTGAAGATTATCAAGAATAAAGATTCAAATGAACGAAGATTGTGAAGATGAAGATTTTGCTATCGCTATCGCTATCGTCTCTAGTTTGCTGTTTTGTTTTAAATTTATCAGGAAAACCTTTGACCAAAGTTTTTATATCCAACTGCAGTGAAATGTAGATTTTATTACAACGGTTGAATAGTAAAACTGTGGTTAAATAGTTTTCAATTTCTTATTTATTTATGAACTTAATAGAAAATATGGAAAAAATGTAGTTGCTAGGATTCGAAGCTTGTAACGCTTACTTTATCACCACAGTTGTTTATCTCAATTGTGATTAAATAACTTTCAAAAAATAAAAAGTATATCAGGCGCATCTCGTTTGCGATATTACAACAATGGAAAACATAATTGTAGTAGTATTATGTTACCGAATGTTTATTTTATAGTAGTGAGAAATGACTATGGAGATGAATACCTAGGTCCATTTGAAGCATATTTTAAAGCTCATGGGATAAGACATGAGAAAACACCCCCGAAGACTTCCCAAATGAATGGAATAGCTGAAAGGATGAACAGAACGACTGTAGAGAAAGTCAGAAGCTTTCTTTCTCATGAAAAACTTCCCAAATAAGTTTAGGGTGAAACAGTGAGAATTGTAGTTGATTTGATAAACTTGTCTCCTTCAAGCCGCTAAATAGAGAGATACCAAATGAAGTATAGTATGGAAAGATAGCCTCCTACAATCAATTAAGAGTATTTAGGTGTAAGGCATTTGTCCATATTCCCAAATATGAAAGTGAAAAAGTTAATGTTAAGACGAAGGAGTACATATACCTTGGTTCACCAAAAGATGAACTTGACTTTAGATTATGGGATTCTGCAAATAATAAGATTGTTTAAAGTAGAGATGTGGTACTTTATGAAGATCATAAAATCCATGATATTCAATCTAAGAAGCCAAAGACCATTGTGTTACAAAACTCGGGGGGAAAAATTCATAAACGAGATATCGAACCTGATCAGACAACACAACCCCATCTTATGAAGCAACCTGACCAGGTATAATAAGGTCAGGAAATACATGGAGAGCAAATGATAGAGGCTGATCAGAGGGACCATTAACTTCAAGTGAGAAGATCCATGCGATTAAGATAACCATCCAAAAGATATTTCCCAGATGAATATGTCACTCTGACCGATGAAGGAGAACACGAAAGCTTCTTGGAAGCCATTCAAGCAAATGACAATGACAAATGGATGAAAGCCGTGCAAGAAGAATTAAAGTCACTGAAGGAGAACCAGGCGTATGACTTGGTGAAATTACCAAATGGAAGAAGAGTTTTGAAAAACAAGTGGGTGTTCAAACTCAAGTTACAAGATAATAGCCCAAACCCCATATAAAAAGCATAAATTTTTGTAAAGGCATGCCATAAGAAGAAAGGCATAGAATTTGAAGATATATTCTCACTAGTAGTGAAGATGACATCCATAAGAGAAATCCTTGGTCTAGCTGCAATGGTAGACTTGGAAATAAAGCAAATTGATGTTAAAGCAACATCCTTACATGGAGACTTAGAGGAATATATATATATAGAGTGGCCTAAAGGATTTGCAGAACCAGAAAAAGAACACCTTGTGTGTCGCTTGAAGAAAATTTTATATAGGTTGAAGCAAGCTCTAAGGCAATGGTACAGGAAGTTTGAACTCTTCATGACCCTACAAAAATTTAAAAAGACATCCGCAGACCATTATGTATTTGTGAAGAAATATGATAATGGTGAATCCAACATAGTTTTGTTGTATGTTGATGATATGCTCATTGTTGGAAAAGACAAGACAAAGATAGCTACTCTAAAGAAGGAATTGAGAAAATCCTTCGCCATGAAAGATTTAGGTGTCGTAAAGAAGATTCTTAGAATGCATATCATTCCACATCGTCCCAAAAGAATGTTTTAGATGTCACAAGAAGATTATATCAAGAAAGTCCTTGAGAGGTTCAACATGCATAATGCCTAACCTATGCATGTCCCATTACCTGGTCATTTGAAACTCAATAAGACACAATGTCCATGAAATGAAGAAGAAAAAGAAGAAATGAGCAAGATGCCCTATTCTTTAGCTGTGGGTAGTCTTATGTACACAATGGTTTGAACAAGACCAGACATTGCTTATGTTGTAGGAGTTATGAGTAAATTCTTGTTGAATCTTGGAAAAGAGCATTGAAATGTTGTGAAATGGATACTGAGGTATCTTAGACGAACTGTCAAACAATGTTTGTGTTTTGGCAATGAAAACCAATTACTCATTGGGTGTGTAGATGCAGATATGGCAGAAGATGTAGATTCAAAAAAAATCTACTTCAAGGTATTTGATTATTTTTGCAGAGGGAGCCGTTTCATGGCAATCACAATTACAAAAGTGCATTATTTTAAGTACCACAGAAACTAAATACATTGCAATCACTGGAGATTGTGAGAAGATCCTGTGGATGAAGAAGTTCTTGTATGAGTTAGGTCAGAATCAATAAAGTTATGTTCTCTATTGTCATAGTCAGAGCACAAGTCATCTCAACAAGAACTCGGCATACCGTCCAAGGTAAAAACAAATTGACGTGAGGTATCACTAAATTCGTAATGTGTTAAAGTGTAAACTCTTGAAAGTAGAAAAAGTTCACACCAATAAAAATGTGGCTGACATGATGACAAAACCTCTACCAAAAAAGAAGATAGAGTTTTGCAAACAAACTGCTGGATTGACAGTAACCCCAAACTAATCAAGACCATTTTTCTATGGTTAAAATGGGAGAAATGTGGAATTGCCACGTGACCAACATACGTTTGACAAAATGGAAGATTGCATGTGATGATAAGTAGTAAAGTGTATGATATACACATGATGTAGTCCCTATTTTTTAAATTCACGGATGGGGGAAATCATAAAGATGATTTTCCAACATAAAGAACATAAATTTATCGCTTATAAAAAAAAGTTACAAAAATCTATTGAGAGCTTGCTTCTTAAGATAGCTCTAGCAATCCTCACCATAATTCATTTTCATTTGTAATTTTAGAGTTTGCTTCTTAAAATAGCTTTTGCATGCCGATTTATCACGAATGGAACAAAAAGGAATAATCATATTCCAAAGTCTCAAGCAAACTATATCTACACACACAAACGAATACTATTATTCAAACACAAACAACGCAAATTACTATATGCCCCTTGAATTGCCAATACTTGGAAAGGTTAACAAGGAATAATTCTAGTCCATGATCACCAACTTAAGGCAAATTTGAAAGCCATTGTACCCTTCATTAGTAGTTTTAATTCCTTCAACCTAATAGATTTATTAATCATCATACACACCAAATTGAAAACTTTGAAAATAAAATGGAAAGCAAGCATGCATATAAACGGTCTTATGAGGATTTTGATCCTGTTTTTAAGTGGCGCAGAGAAGTAGACCGTGACACCGTTGAACTTCATCTTCCAGGCATGTTAATTTCATCTCTCTAATAATCGATAACACCGATATCTCTGAAAGAATGTGTACTCAACCCTGACACTCGTGTATTTGGTGTCCGTGGTTCTTAAGTTTAAATTATATATAGAGTTTACTTCTATTGATGTTGATGTATTTGTTATCATTGTAGATTAAATATGTTTTTCATTCATATATATTTTGTAAACAATTGTATACATATGAGGGATTATTTATTTTCAGGTTTTAAGAGAGAACAAATAAGAATTCAGGTGAACCATCTTGGTTTTTTGGTGATAAGTGGAGAACGTCCACATGATGGAACAAGATGGAAACGTTTCAAGAAAGAGTTTGAGATTCCAAAATATTGCAATGAAGATGCTATTCGTGGCAATTTCATGCAAAATATTCTTTCTATTGTAATGCCAAAGAAAGTTGATCTTATACCTCAAGAGAAGCAAGAAGAAGAAATGCCGGAACTTGAAGACGATGATGAATATCAAGAGAAAAATACATATAAGAGTTTGAAATTTGGAGGCAGAAGCGGAGAAGAAGAGAGTGAAAAGAGAGATAAAGAGAGACTATATGAATATGGTGACACAAGAGAAAATCAATTTGGAGAAAATGATGTAGAAACTACTAGAGATGTTGCTTTTAAATTCATGGTTGTGATTATTGTTGTAATGGTCATTGTAAATTATCTAGTGGATATGAGCAAAAGCCTCATGGGTGAAGCTCAATCCTATTTTCAAGATTAGATGAAGTTTTAATGTTGTGAAAAATGGATAAAATTATTATATTGTTATACTATTGTCTTAATTAGCACAAACAAGTTATAAAATTGATGATCAGATTACAATAACATCAATACAAATCATCATATATAATTCATTAATACAACAAATTTAAACAAATATAAAATTTCATCGGTGTTATATCTTAGTAGTTTAGCGTTGAAGACAATTTATGTGACGATCAAAGTTAAAACCCTAGTCAACACACTCTTCCTCTCGAAAATTATAATTTATAATTACTTAGTAGTGTTGACCTATAAATAAAATAAATATATATAAAATTTTCTAACTTATGCAAAGATGGCTACAATAGCAAACATGGTTGCCATGACAACTCCAAACACAGATGATAAAACATGGCGAGCATCCGAAGACGGTGGAGGAGAAGGAGGAGAAGGAGCCGGTGCACCTTCGGCTAGAACCGTGATGACAAATTTCATTTGACGAGAAGCACAATGATCAGCTTTTCCACAAACATACCATTTTCTGCCTTCAGTTTTCAATGGAATTATATCTTTTCCGGTAGAAAGTGCTTCGTTTTCCGGCGGAAAAGTGCAGTTTTGAAAGAGTGTACCATTCACTTTGAAAACATTGTGGAAAGAAGGGTTATAGTTGAAAACTGAAAAAACAAAAGGAGATAAAATATAATTAAGTATAGTTATGATATACATAAAATCTAAACCAAATGAAAATTGTTGTTTTTTTCTTTTACATACCAAGATTGTCACCAACACGAAAAACCATTTCCTGAGCCCATTGAGTGTAATTGAAATCAACAGTCCAGCCTTTATCATCACCAACAATATGATCAGTAGCCATTGCAACTGAGGAAAGCAAAACCATTGAAATGGTTAGGATCAACATTGCACGAGAAGAAGCCATTTGATTAAAATTTGTGTTTGAAATCTGTGCCCTAAAACTGATTGTAAAAAATGAATGTTGGCAAAAAGAATTTCCTAGAATAAAATCTCAATCAAAGGAATCACTATCTAGAAAATGCTTTGAAATGTTATTGTTTGGATGAATTGTGAAATTCAATTTGAGCTATATATAGATTTGTGTTTTATTGGTTTTATCGACATAATAATATTATAATATGATGTTATAAACGGCAACCGGATTCGGTCGGCTTAATTTACTAGGACGGTGTTGAATTTGCACAATTTTTTATTTTATTTTAATGTAAAGAAAGTTTTTCTTTGATAATAAGAAACTTTTTTGCTTTTCTAATAAACCATGAAGTGGACAATATGCAAGTAGTATGAGTCAGAATAAAAGTTTATTTAAGGTAATTTGGCAATAAACAAATGACTAATATATGCTTACTAAGTATAGTTGCACACATGGCCTTCATTAATCTGAGTTACCAAAGAATTGCAATATGCTAGTATCAACATTAAGGATCCTCAACAACCATAAGAGGGAAGTGGTTTTGAAATAAATTATTTGTGTGTCAGTTTGTTTTAGTTAAAAAAAAATTCTTTTATATTTTTGAAAATATATTTTATAAAAATATTTTTAAAATATTATAAGTTTTTACATATATATTATTGAAGATCAAACGTAGGTAAATCACAGTTTTTTCAAAAATTGTATGACAAAAATATTTTTTATGAAAAACTATTTAAAATAGCATGATAAAGTATTTAAAATAATATTTTTAAAATAAATATTCAAACTAAATTTTTATTTAAATTTTTTATTTTAAAAAAATTCTTAAATTTTTTTTCACACCAAAATATATTACACTATAAAAAAATCACTTAAAGAAATCAAAGAGACACTCATATTCAGACAAATGGACTAAACGTGGAAATTAAATGGCGTTTCATTTAATAGTTTAATTCAGTTTTTAATAACTACCTTAATAAAAAATAGTTATTTGATAAAATATTTCCAAAATTGGTTTAGAAAACGTTTACATTCTTTAACCATTTTATGATCACTTTCTATTTATAAATCAATTTTATATTTTCATTTTTTTAAAACTAATTTATTTTCACTCTTTCTATACCAATTTATTTTATAATTATATAAATATTTTAAAACTCTCCGTAAGGGTGAAATGTAGTCGGAGGAACTCTTTGCAACTGTGAGAACGTCCACATCTTGATGAACATTGAAGGAGAAGTGTTCCAATCCTGATGAGACGTCACTAGAATGTGAGTCATTGAAAACTACAAGGGTAGTTTTAGGAGGTCTTTTTTACTTCAATGGAGCCATACTAGGCGAAGTTTCATCAAAGTTTCATTTAAAGTAGAAGTACCATACCGATGGGTGAAGCTAGCGGGATTATATCTGAGTAAATCGCACACTCAAAGATACAACAGAATCGCCACCGAACTTTATTTAGTCCCAAAGGACATGGAAAATATCGATAAAACCCAAAGGAAAGAGAAACGGGAAATGGGGTCGATTATGAGAAAGAAAGGTACTAGCACCTTAAGCATCCGCTGTACCCGACGGGAACCATTTCGCATGCTTCTAGGCTTGGATGGGTTATCTATCTAAAGACTTCTAGATAAAAATGAAAGAAAAGAGAGAAAAAGAAAAGAAAGTGCTCGAGGAAGATCGGGGCCCTCGTGTAACACCCCATTTAAATTATTCAGTCGCTTTGGTATTTTCTGTGAGGTGTAGTTGTGTGGTGTCCTTAATTAAGGGTATGAGGTTAGGAGTAAGGGAGAGAGGTGACCTTAGTTGGGGTACTGTGGACCTAGATAAAGAAATAAGTTGATTATGATATTGAGAGTATTATAGTGATTAATATTATTCCAATTATTATTAATAATAATGTTAATGAGACTATTATTATTATTAGTAATATTATCATTATTATTATTAGTAATATTATTTATATTATTATTATTATTATTGATATTATTATTATTAGTAATAATTAAATTAACTAAATTAAAATTTAATTAAGGGGTTAATAGAGAGTTAGTGGAGGGTTAACCAGTTAGTACGTGAAAAAGAGGAAAAAGGCATAAGAGGAGAGCTAGGGCAGAGGAACCAAGAGTCTTCATTGTTGTCCAAGAAAAGCTCAATTCTAAGGTAAGGGGGGGAGAATGGATTTCAATATGGGTGAATTAACATGAGAGGGTAGTGAAAGATTCTTTCTCTCATAGGAATTATGTGTTCTTGAGGATTCTTGAATCCAATTTTCGTAACTTGATTTGTTCTCAAATTTTCGGTTATTGTTGAATACTGTTTGTATGATGTTTTGTGTATCAGAAACCAGAATTAATACGGAATTCGTGTGAGAAATCCTTGATGCTGTCATAGAATACTAGTGAGTAGTAGATCTGAAAATCTAAACTTTTAGGGATTTGGGCAAATATGTAGAAATGAATGTGTTATATCGTTATTAGTACGATGCTCTAAGGTTTCCCTAAGGTTTAAGGATTTGGGTTAATTGTGGGAAATAGGGAGGTAACCGTAAGAATCTGAGGTTATGGCCAAATGGCCAAATGATATGTATCGTTGAATATTAATATGTGCTTGTAGGGAAAAACTTATGGGAAATTGAACCTTCGTGACCAGAACCTTGACATTGTTATATGTCTGACCCTGAAGGGGTTAAATATTAGATAGTGAGTAATTTTAATGTCGTAGGGTGTAATTGAAGGAAAAATTGTAATATGTTGTTCCTATAGTAATAGGAATATTCAAATGTGGGTAATTTTTATGTGTTGCAAATGTTGCCAGATGAGCATAATAAACCATAGAAGTTGTGTCGTTATTGCCGTATAACCTTAGGAATGTTTTAGTGATGTTTTGGGTGCTTTGAGTAAGTGATTCGCAAGAATAATTGGGTGAATACCAGTTCCGAAGCGTAACAGCGTCTTTCTGTCCGTCACGGATGTTCATGTTTTCGGTTGAAATTGTTTTGGACGTAACTTTGGATCCGTAAGTCCGTTTTGATCCCCGTTCGAAGCATTGGAAAGTTAATGAACAGAGCTATAACATAGGATAGATAATGGATTTATTTTCCCAATATTTTTAAATCTAATTATGGTAATTCCCGAGAGGATTACGGTGAGCGGATGGCTCACGTGGATCAAGATTGATCGTGAATTATGTATGATGTATTATATTGCATAGTCGTGTTGACATACATTTCATATATGTGTCTTATGGAGATGGCTAGGTGGGAATCCATTATGGATGCCTAGTTTCATCCAGACTTCAATGTGGAAGTCGTTGTGGAGATAAGTTGTAGTTCAGAGGAACGTATATACGACTTATCCGGATTCCGACGGGAATCGGGTTCTAGTGTGAACCGTATGAGATTGTGTTGGTACCACATGCATTGTGTCGAGTCAGTAAGTTGCATTGCATTATTGTAATTGAATGTGGGCTATTAATGTCGAATGACTGAGGTGGCACGTGTATGTGCATTATTTATGTATGATTGTATGTGTGGTGTGTAACTACTCCTTAGCATTTGTATTTCACCGTTTATTTATTGAATGTAGTTCTCACCCCTTTTTGTTGTTGTGTCTGTGCTCTCTTGGGAGTACAGGTGACCAGGTACTTGAGTAGTGCTTGGAGTGTGTTGCTATTTGACCGAGTCTTAGGAGTCGCTCTGATACGTAACATGGGATGACGAGATTACGTTGTTATTTGACTACTTTATTTGTTTATTGTTACGTATCTTTATTTGTTGGACTTATGTTGTATGACCTCATGTTGAGGAGAATTATATTGGAGAATTGATTTGTATTCCGCTGCTTACTTGAAAACTAAATAATATTGATTATTTTAATAAAATGAAGTGACTTAGTGTAATATCCCACTGTGTTGGAGAACTCTGATGAATTTCATGAATTGTTTCTATATATTTATTATATTACGCGTACGGGGTAAAGTGGGGTGTTACACCTCGTGCCTACGTACCCTCCTAGTGCAATGAGTAAGTCAGAGCTCCGTAGTTCAAGGAACTAAGGAAAAGAAAAGGATTTGAACGGACCAGAGAGACAGAAGAATGGAAGAAGACAGAGGAAGGTGGATCGCCAAGATTTCCAAATCTTGTGCCTACGTACCGTCATAGTGCAATGAGGAAATCAGAGCCTACATAGTTCGGGGAACTACTGTTGGGAAAGAAAAAGGACAGATACGGTGTCAAAGCCAAGAGCGAAAAGAGGAAAGCAAGACCCAACTGGGGGATGCAAAAGGAAGTGGTATCAAAACTAAGAAAGGAAACGAAATAGAACTATGTTGAGGAACACAGAAAAGTAAGGCAAAAACTCTACAGGGACATGTAGAAGAAAAGAAATGACTCTACAGGGGATAAAACAAGAAAATGGTGACGGAGCCGGGGAAGAAAGGAGTACAGGACAATAATCTAAATAAAGGTAAGATCCACGGGGAACTCGGTGTATTAACTGCAAGCAGTGATTAAACGAAGAAACTTGAGAAGCTTTGTGGGGAGAGTAAAAGGTTAGGTGTCAACAAACGGACTGTGAAGAAACAAAAGAAAAGGAGTATTGAACCAAAGAAAGGTGTTTGACTCGGAGGGGAAGTCGGTATATTAACTGATAAACAATGGTTAACCGAAAAGATAAAGGAACTGGTTTTAACCGATAAACGGTGATCAACCAAAAGACGGGTGTGGAACCAAGCAAAGGTTGTGACCCAAGAGACAGGTGAAGAACCAAGCGAAGGTTGTGACCCAAGGGATGACACATTGATTGAACAAACAACACTTGGCCAAAGAAAAGGGTATTCAAACTGAATAAAGATTACTAACCCAAAGCTGACAGTATTTGAACCAGAGAAAGGTTGCTAACTGCGGGGGTTCAGTGTTTAACAGAAGGACTATGACTAACCGAAAAGAATAAGTGATTAACCAAGAGAAGGTGATTAACCCAAAATAAACT